ATAATCTTTCCTTTATAAAAGACAAACAAAAGTATCAAAAATTGCCCTCATACACAATAATAAGAGTAAATGTGTTATGTAAATGTAAATGTATTACTTCAAAACTTAAATATTTCTTCAGCTTTTTTCAATAATTTCAATAAGTCCCTCAAGTAAATAGAAGAACTTTAAAACAAACTCTATTCAGCATCTTGCTCAAGGACAAGACATCTTAGTTATCCAACATCTGCTCAGTTGACTGGAGTTGACTGGAAATGAAAGCTGTGTCTGAAGTTTAAGTGGGAGTAATGAAATAGCTATAACTAACCAAAAGTTTTGGATCATGAAAATATAGAGCAACTGATTGCATTTCTGTTTTTGTACATTGACAGGTGGTAGTATGCAAGAATATACATTTGGCCTTTTCTTTTCACTGCTGAACAACCAGACACTTCTGCTTGGCCTAGATAGTGTTTTGGTATAAATTTGACATTGACACCATCCGTCACTTGGACAAACATTGCCATGCAATCTCCTGCAATAACACTCCGCCTTCCCAGACATGGTGAATTATGGGGGGAAGGTACCTGCAGTGGTCAAAACCAGGTAGCCTGGACTGAAATGAATCTGAATTAATTGTGTTCTTGCTAACTTCCTGTGCTAAAGTTCCTTTCCATACTTCATTACGCTGCTGTCATTAGCATTTAATATCAAATTATCTCACTGATGAAATTAATGATAGGTTCATATTAGCTTGATTATTGGAAAACACACATAGAACTGGGCTTTCTGTGTGAGGTCCTCAAATTATCAATGAAATACCAGGTTTAAAAATCAATCTGCAGTCCTTCATTTTAGGAGTTAAAAGTTCCACATATAAAAGGCATCATTTTAAGCTTTCAGAAGTGGCAGGGTGGGTACCGTTTTCTGTTTGTTCCTTCAACTCATTCTTAAGAGCAATTTCACTGCTAATGTGCTGTGTATGCAGTGAATCCCAGTGAAGTCACTGCCTGCTGCACACAGCTTCAAAATGACACCAAGTACAATCTGTAAAATTTAGAATTGGCTATTACAAATATTACGAAGTGTGACATGAGCTCATTATCACGCCACCTAGTTCCAACTCCTCCCTTTTGTGGCCTAGCTTTTAGCCAAGCTTACCCTACATGTGTATCTACAACATCAGGTTTGTCTGGCTCTAATCTACAGTCATAACATTACAATTCCTCCCTATCTTACTGTGGGCTGAACACTCACCCCTTCAACAAAAAGCTCACATCACTCTCTCAGCACTGAATCACATTCCCTCCTCTGTCTGCCTCCTCCACTCTCGCTGATACGCTCCCTAAACTAAAGCATATTAGTTGATGAAACACCACACAATCACTTATTGTTGTATAGTGTGGTGCAAATTCTGCTATAATAATGTATTAATACAGTCATATTACAATGTTATACACAAGGTTGTTTTATTAATTTCACCACCCAGTGCTGTTTAGTTTGCTAACTGTGATTATTTTGTGATTCTCTTGGTTCTCTTCAGTCCAGCTCATCTCTGTTTCCATACATCTCTGACACCATTTCAGCTGTGTATGTAGCACCAATGTCAGCGCTACATAAAGAAATACAATACAAGAGAACGGCACAGCAATATATACGACTTGAAAATACCAAACAGTATGCCATCTAAGTCATCTAAATCAAAAAATATGTTTGTTAAAGGTATAACTATCATCAAATTTTTAAACTAGAAAATATTACAATAAGAGTCTATCTCTAAGGGCCGGGTTATTCTTGAAAAGAACTGGTTTGTACATCGTGTCATCTGATGTCATCCGAAATCACTACGTTCTTAGCTGCACGGTAGAGTGAGACTGGGAGGGGGGAGATTGTAAAATTGTTTAAATACAGTTTCACCTGAAAGACATTCATGGTGGTACACTTGTTCATAAACATGAAAAGCTAGCCAATGACGGCGTGTAGTAGGAGTGAATGTCAGTTTGTCAGTTTCAGAAAGTAAACAGGAATTGTAAAAACACAGCTCCCCCTAATCTGGAGAGGTGCTGCACCAAGTAATTATTATACAAGCTCTGCAGAGCCTGACGATACATAAGAAACTAGGTATGCCATTTACCTCTCAAAAACCTCCTTGTTTCAATTATTTATCTGTTGAATTTTTTATGTTATCAGTTCCTCCAAATGGATTTATTTGTTAGGAAAATGAAACGTGTGCAAATACAAATCTTGCTATTTTTATGGATATTATTTAATGCATGTCACCAGCATTACTCTCATTACATTGTTGCAGTGTAGAGCATGTGTAAGGTATGGCACACGTGCTACCAGCCGGGGTTGCACATGTTCCAAATGTGTACACATCCCTCTCCTGTAGATTTCTGCTTTCTCGTCTCTCTCTCCTCTCTCTCTCCTTCTGTCGCTTTCTGCAGGGATTTCTGCCTCCGGAGTTGTAGAGTCTGGATCTATGTTTGCCAACTCGCTACTGTCCCTAGTCCTTCTCAACAACCACTGCTACAATAATTATTTGTAGTTTTGTTATTATTTATCATTATGATTACTAATATATTTATTGATATTTGTATTATTTCCACTACTGTTACTATCTTTTACATCTCTATGTGGAACTTGCATTGGGCTGTGAGTGAAGTGAAGAGTTTTTCCTCTTCCTCCCTTTTCCTCCTGAATGGAAAATTAAATTGAAATGAAGTGTATAACTGCATTACAGTACTGTAATGTCCTGTAAATACAGAAAGTTTCCATCAAATGGCATTCATTTTTCGTGCATGTTGTAAGAATATTTGACATCATTTTTACAGTATCTGCTGAAATTTGAGTTTTAGTTTCAAGAAGATAATAAGCTAATACAATAGACAAAAGACTGAAGACTGAAGGTATTAGTTACCTTCTTCTCCTTATGAAACAGTAGGTCTGCGGGAGGCATGCTCACTAGTATTTTGGAAAGATCACAGTAATACTTCTCCATTAACTTATGTCTTTTTACACTACCCAGTTTTGGGTCCAGCTGTCAGAACATAGTGGATGGACCGTGCAGTTTAGAGGCCAACGTTAATAGAATCATGTTAATTAAACAATTTGCTAAATGGTTCCATTGTCTTGAATGTGTTCACATTAAGGTTCTTATTTCAGCTGCAACCCACAGATCCATTACCCCAAGCATTTGAATTATGGATAGTCAGGAAATTACTACCTTTATATTCGGCACAGAGGAGATTAAACGCCTCTGTGGTATCGGATTATATTTGTCCATTAAATCAGGTTTCAGGAGAATTTTACAACTTCTAACATTATATCAACTTAACTAGAATTCTATAAACTGTTATAATTGCTACTACTCTTCTCGTTCTATTAGTACACCCACTAGTGCTACAGCCATTCCTACAACAAATATTTCTACCGGTATGCTACTACTAAACTACAAAAACAGCTACAAAAATAATATACTAGATAGAATTTAACATCACTCCACACATAAGCTATTTCACTATGAACCAGTGCAAAGACCCCCCCAAAACCTCAGCTTCAGTGATGTGCTTCCATAACAAAGACTGTGTGTGTCCTTAAGGCCCTCTTTATTCAAGCACGCCTTATATGGAGAAAATTCGGTATTTACTGGTCATATTATCCCCATATTTACTGATTTTATATATTAACTGGATAGAATGTCATGTCATGTATGCTTATTTGAATTCACTTTATTACAGAAATACACACCCATGCACACATATATACAGTAGATGCATACATATATACACGTACATACATACATAAAAATAAACGTGCAAATACATGCTTAAAAAAAGGATTTAAATAAATGAAGAGGGATACTCCATCCACTTAATTATTGCACTTCCGCAAAGTTGGGTGACTCCCAAGAGACAATTAAAATTAAATATGTCAAGCTCAAACACTGCATCCTTTTCAATCAGTTCCAATAACGCAACTCAATAGCCGATTTCATGAAGCTGCCAGTATACTCCAGTGCTTCCCGGATAGATTCGGAAACTCCTTTCCCTACATTTATAATCATCATTGGCATCGCATCCAACAACTTTTCAAGCCACCTGCAAGTGTGGCCATTCGGAATAACTATAAACACTTGATGCACACACAAACATTTGATATCTGACATGTCTTACAAACTGGTTCTGTTCGATCCGACCCCGACTCCTAAACTCTCCCTGCCTGTCCCATGCCCTCATATTTTAACTTACACCTTCAGAAACAGGATTCCTGTCATAAATGTGTTGTATTCGAGGCCAATCTGAGATAATCCTGATGCTACTACTGACACTTTAAATAGCATTACTAACATGAGTGCTATGTTTTCTACAGATAATAATATAAATTATTGCGGCCATTATCATCATTAAAATTATATCATTCAGTTAAGTGACCACTTAACTGCTAGCTGTTAACTGGAATGGAAATTAGTTGCTCGGTTTCTCTACTGCAACACCTGCAACACTCTCCAGTATCACTGTACTGACGTGTGAAAACCACCTTGTCATGGTGAACGGCAAAATAAGTCCCAATGGGATCCATCACTACCTGCCTCTATTCAACACCTGCCATTGGCTAGTTGCCTGTGAAGCGTGAAGGCTCCTCTTGTCCTCACTGCCATTACAATACTCTTTAATTAGTGTACGTTGGCATCAGATGTCTTCCCACTTGGAAAAGTACTGAGCAACTAGTGCGCAAAAAAAATGTTTTTTAAAAGGGTTTTGCTTTTTTGCACTAGCCAGTGAAAAGGCTTGTAAGAGGATTTTTGAAAATGCGATTTGTTGACTCACTAAGAGGTTATCTGTCATCCTTAAATCCTTCTGATGTAACACTACTTTTCATTTTTCACCCATACAGCCTCTTTTCATTTTTTGGTCCAAAAAAGATTTGACCAGGACACACATAGAGGAACCAAACATGATGAAAACAGATACTAAACATGTCAGATATAAGTATTACTAAGGGATAAAAGAACACACTCATCCTCTAAAAACATTTTATTTCATACCTAAAAATAGCAGCTCATGAAGTCCTGACAAAGAGTTACCTTGACTGCTCTACTTAGAAATTTGTCCTATGTCTAATAGAACAGAAAGAAAGTATTTATATAAAAAGTTAATATTCAGACAGTGGTAGCCTGGATTTATACAGCCAAGGAAACTTTAACAAGCCTCTTGGCACCTTGGAACCAATTCCTCATACCTATAAAAATTACACAAAGGGAGGACAGAGGAATCTGGGTCACGGTGGGCTCGGGGCTAGCTGGCAAACCTTCTAATTTGTGTGACACTAACCTTGGCTGACTGGGGTTTCACTGCAAGCCCAAACTCCCCTCCTGTCTGAACTGATAAGGATCAATTCCTCCGTGAATCTGCTGTTTGTAAAGCTGTGGGTTGTTGTAACAAGGTGGAGGGTGAGCAGGGAAGTCCATTTTCAACAGGAGGAACAGGAATCAGGTTGACAAGTGTCCAGCCTGCAGTGTCAATCCAAATCAGCTCCAAAGGATCTGGACCAGTCCTGAACTCTGACACCCCTTCAGAGAACCATGGATTTTCTCTGTTAACAAATATTGCGCTCAAATTACAGCAGTTATACAGGATAAAGCCGCTGCCACATGAATACCTCCTACCTCATTTTAATTCTTACATTTGTAAAAAAAAAAAAAAAAAAAAAAGAAAATTCCAATATCATCTTAGACTTATCCATCAAATTAAATTATGAAAAAGCATATTTTCTCCCTTACCTGTAGTGGTCCCTAGCCCTGATCAAAGTTTTATTTGCCTTCACCCCATAATAAATGCCAACTGAATTTCGTAAGTGGTGTCATTTAGTTTTTGCATTTAAAAATGGCATTTAAGAAATTCAGCAACACATCTTCCTGATAATAATCCTATAATCCACCAAACGTACCATCAACAGTTTTTACAAGGACTATTCACTTTAATAGAATAAAGTCCAAATAAAACTGTTCACAGCAAGGTCTGTGGATTATGTGTTTAGCCAGACAATGCATTTTTTTGAAAGCAGTGTTAACAGATATTTAACCATTTGGGGTTTAGAAACAAGTTGTAAGTAACAGTACTGACATATTATCACTTAATAAAGTTAAAATGCTTTGCAATCTAAGCAAACTATTGCCTATTTACACATCCAGCAGACACAGAGAAACATTAGCATTCATTTAGAGTCACAGTTCAGACCAGGAACGGGCAGTATTTATGATGCATGTATTTAAAATACATACTTAAAATACAAAATAGGATTTTGTCATTTTTATTTGATAGGGTTAATGAAAATGGCTTCATATTTTGTATCATAATACTTTAGACTTTTGTTACTGTAAAATACTGAGTAGCAGCCCTCACAGTTATCGTTAACTTTCAGCCTATGTTAAGTTTTCATCAGTTGTGCACAAAAAAATACGGAAGTAATAATGAAAACTGCTGTTTTTTGAAGTTTATTTTAATACACTTAAATAAAAGTAAAATACATTTTGCCCATCCCTCGTTCTGGCCACCTAGTAAATGAAAGTCCAATATTGACTCTCCTTTTAGTACTGTTTTGCTTTCTACCAAATAGAAATATCTGTCTCTGTAGCTGCTAAATGTTCCAATGTGTTCACCAGCTACTGTGTCAGTCTGCTGTTTGGTGCTGGGCAGGTAGTGTACAGTGGGTTCTTAAGAACTGCCTACCCCACATCCAGGAGATAAGTGGCATTCATTTGTAATCAGGTTTCTCCCAACGTAACTCTATCAACCCCTGACAAAGATAGCTGGGTATTTAGCTACTAGATGTTTGACTTTCTTCACAAGCTAGAAAAAGAAAGATGCTAACATGCTCCAGGGGAGAACCATAGTATTAAAAATTTGTTCATCACTTTGACCCCTTTCACATTAAAGCAATTTGACCCATTGTTAATAAAAAACAAATGTGGATCAATGCAGCTTTAAATGCAATTTTCAGTGCTATCAACAGCATAAGAAAATTCCATTGGCATTCATTGTACTGGGGGTAGAAATCTCAATACAATATGGGTAAGCTACCCAAAAAGGTTCAAATCAAGGGCAGCAACTGGACTTGGCAGAAGATTTTCGCCTATCATCCAAGACATTTGAATTGAAGAAGCCTCTTGGATGGGAGGCAAAACGTTTTCAGCCAGGTCCAGTTGCACTTGATTTTGACCTTCCTTACATAACCGTGACCTGGATGACTGAGAATCTTCACAGACGATATGGGTAAGGGGAAAAGGGTTTGTAGGGTTGCTTTCACTGGGTTATATTTAATTAACATCATTTTTTTAAAAAAAGAGGGTGTGTAGCAGACACAATCTTATCTGGCAAAACATCAAAGTTCAGATAATTTCACACAAATGAAAACGGTACGCTCCACAGTACAGAGACAGATGGTTAAAAATAACAAGGGTCACTGTGATGGCAGTATTCACCATGCATATACTGTCTAACAACCACTAATGCCTCTAGCAGCTTATCAATTCAGGTGTGAATATTCCTCTCAATTTGAAACACCACCCACATTTAAATAATCTTTGTGATCTTTGCAGTAACAATTTCCCGCGTTAACAGTGAAATTTACATTTGAACTCATAATATTAAAAAAACAACAGACACCACTTACAGTCGAGACATAATTGAAATCCTGCCTACAAAACGACTGCATTTTCTGCTTCAGAGCAAACACCCAAAAGCTACAGTGCATATCTACTTCACAAGAATCACAGTACATTACATCAAATGTATTTTTTTCCTCTTGTACTGAAACAAGAAAGTGAAAAAAAAAAAAAACACTTGGGTTCAGACTGTAAGAATACCGGAATGTAAAAAAGGTAATTTTCTTGCTACGCCATGTGAGCGGCATCTGTGAGGGTCTGTCCCACTGTCCTACTTCCATTCTTGAGAATTCCCTCAGTGGTAACATGACCCAAGTTCATTGCTGGTGTTTTTAGACCACCAATATCAGAGTCATCTGCCTGCGGTTCTAAGAAAGCCACCCTCTTTCCATTTGACCGTCGCTCTCCTGACTCTACCTCCCTGGGGTCTGAACAGAGGATGATGGCTCGTCCGCCGCACCCTCTCGATCCCCCACCCCGGCTTTCCCTGCATCGACAGGGAGTGAGGTAGAGATAGAGCAGCACCAGTATGATGCTGACCACACAGGAAGCCAGGGTGGTGAACGCTGTGTTGAAATGCTCGGCACCACTGCGATGTGCCAAGCCACTGATGGAGGCAGTACCTAAGTTTCCAACCACCACATTGACCTCCAGAGACTTGTTGGGGTCATAGTGGCTCCTGCGGCCTGCCACGCACCCATACATACCGGAATCCTCCATCAGGGCTCCTCGGATTTCAAGGGTACCATTGGGGAAAACTATCAGGTGGGCACTTGGATCATTGGTTGATGAATTCACCACAGTCCTGGGGGTAACCCAGAACACCAACAGCTCCTCCTGGGCTGGAGAAGCCAACCCTGGACATGGCACGCTTAGCCATTTACCAGGTTCTACTTGGTAAGTCTGTGCCTCAAGGGACATATCTGACACTACCCGCTGGGTACATTCCGACCCCGGACCTGAATCGTCTCTACATGGGTATTCACCTCTGAACTCCACCAGTGGGCGATACTGTTTCCACATCCAGTACTCCAGCAAGGCGAGTAAAGCACAGTCGCAGACCAAAGGGTTTTCCTGCAAATAAATTCCACCTTGCTGCGTGAGAGACAGCAGGCTCTGGACCGGCACCTTGGACAGCCTGTTGTATGACAGATCGAGAAAGGACAGATTACGAGGACCTCCAGGTTCCCAGTAAAGCCCCAGAGGGAAAGCCATCAGTCTGTTCCCAGAGAGGTAGAGCCTCTGCAGACTCTGAAGATCGCTGAAGGCCCCTTGGTTAATCTGGATGATCTGGTTGCCAAACAGCAGCAGCTCTTTCAGTTCCTTCAACCCAGTGAAGATGGACGAGTTCAGCACTGTTAGTTGGTTGGAGGAGAGATCCAGGTGGAGGAGATGTGGTGTCACAGTGAAGGCTCTCACCTCAATTCGGTTTATGGAGTTTCGGCTGAGAACCAGTGAAGTAAGCCGGTTGAATGGTTGGGAAATCCAGTCCACAGGCAGGACAGTGAGGGCGTTGTGGCTCAGGTCCAACCGTGTGGCATAGCTTGGGAGATCAAAGGGCAGCGCAGACAGATTGCGGCCGCTGCAGGAAATTATATCGCTGGCACAAAGGCAGTATGGTGGGCAAGTGGCCACAGAGGGAGGGAAGCCAAGACACAGGGAAAGCAGCAAGGCTGCAGCAGCAGGGTTGCTGTGCCCACCTCCAACACTGATCTTGCCCAAAAGATGTAATGCAGTGGAAGGCATCCTGGTATTCCCTCAGGATGAGATCTCGGTTACTGTCTCACTGGGTGTGCACATGTCAGGTTTACCAGCATCTGATAGTGGACAGCTTTAATGAACTGAGGAGAGATACAGAAAGACAGGCAAAATGGAAATTAATCTCCTTATTTTTTATACTAGTTTTAGTAATAATCTACTAGCACTACTGGCACTAAACAAAGTGCAAACACCACATGAAGTAAAAGACACCATCATGAGCAAAAACAAGCAGTTAGATAACAGTAGGAATACACAGTAAGACTACATGGAAACATGTAATAGAGGTAAAGGCATTACAAAAATGTAGCTCTAAAATTTAATTGGAATCCAAATCTAAATACAAAAGTGATGGCTGCTGGCATCGTCTGCACACGACAACTGTTAGTATCTGCTGGAAGTGTAACTTAATCCAAACATGTCAGTAATCCATACTCCTCCCCTATATTTCTCACAGATACAAAACAAGTTAGTTGATTACTTTTTCCTTTAGCTCACCACCCCCTACTTTTGATATTTGTTTTCATTGTTTTATAGATAGATAGATAGATTTTGTATTTTACTGACACCACTACTGAAATCTAACAAATGCTGCATGTCCTTATAACAGCTGACATGAATTGATCTATCACCTGTGTTTAAGGTCTATATAAATGATAGCAAATTATAGCATTACAGTCTATAGAAGTCTTCAATATCTAACACCAAGAATATTATAAAAAATGTAAACTCCAACAATATTTAAAATATAATTTATAGCTCCATCAGCAGCTGATTTCGCTATTTAACTGTTCTCAAAAGATTAATTTAAAAAGTGCTGCAGTGTTTTAATGATTAGCCCATTAATCTATTGGTCCATCCATTAATCTGCAACTGTTTTGATAATCAACAAATCATCTAAGTCATTTCCCAAGTAGAAATACCAATCATTCTGCGGTTGCTGCTGCTTTATTGACAGCTTTTTGTAGGCTAAATGTAAACTGAATGTATTTGGGTTGTACACAGACAAAACAAGACTTTAGACAAGGTAATGGCATCTAGGAAAATTTGGATGAATGCATTTGGCCTTCTTCCCTATTTTCTGACTCTTTGTAGCCCAGTTCATGAATCAATTAATCAATTACATAATTAGTTGATTAAATGATGCTGAAAAGAATTGTTTGTTCTGGCCCCCGTGAAGTTTACATAAGTGAGAACATTAAAAAGTCATGATTGTGTTAAAGAATGAGCCAAATGTAGGAAACTGTTTGCGGGTGGAAGATGAATTCTGTATTATTATTATTGGTATTAGCCGAATCTGTCCTTTCCTTTTCTATTAGAATGATAAGAATTTAAAATGAACGACTTGTGGAACCAAAACAAACAAACAGAACAAACCCAGCCGACAGCTCACCTTTCCGCCCACACTGAAATCATCAGCAAGTCTGCTTTTCCGGACGAAATTGCGAGGACTACAATCCTAAAGGCAACTTCGCTCTTTCTGGAGTAAAGCGTTTTCGTCTCCCCTCAGCAAATACTCCGACTAGAATGTGAGCAGGGAGCCGGGAAGCTGCGGCTGAACTGCTCACCTGCAGGTCGGATTGCATTTTTGCCGTGGGAGGGGTCGTCCAGAGTGTAAACACGGAGCCCAACAGCAGCCCGTACGCCAATAACATGTGAGTGGATGCTGCCAAAAGGAGGAGAGGGCGGTGGAAGATGAGGAGAGGCAGAATGTGCGGTAGGAGAGGGTGCAGCATCAGCACGAGCTCGGATATTTGGTTAATTTGCTCCAGTATTTTGTGATTTAGTTGTTTACTTAGTTTCCTCACTGACTGTTTTGGTTAAATAAGTTATTGGTAGTGGGACAATAACTGTGAATATATGTGACAAGTCAGATAAAAATCAGACTACATGTTTGTGTCTCTCCTGTGAACATTTTTGCATATTATTAAGTTAATTAATTATTAAGTCGCACCTGTCTGGCAGATAGATCATAGAAAGGTGTTTATGACACTTTCAAACCTGCTGAACCAGACAATATCTTCCTTATAATGCCGTAGAAACACCTTTAATCTAACTTGTATAGGCCTATATTATAAGAAAAACATTTTACCTGCAAACTGACAACAAATGGCTAGCAGATAGCAGATTAAAGCTGCACTAATCACTATCAACAAAGGATCAAATGACTGCCTGTAAAGTGAAAGCTGTCAGAATTATCATCCTACTCTTCAGTTCATCCAGAGCTTTTTAGTATCTTATTTAGTATCTTTTAACCCCTGTGTTGATTAGATAACTGCCGCACTACTGTTCATTCTCACTACTCTCATCAACCCTGTTTCCAGCACAGGCAAGCAGCTGTTTTCATCAAAAAAAGTTATGCTACTTCACTTGTCTAGCACAAAGAGACAGACAGACAAAGTTAGCGACTAGCTGGTGAGCATGGAGGAACATTTAGCAGCTAAAGAGCCAGGTATTTCTTTCAAGAGTTGATGGAGAATATTGGACTGGCCAGAAACATGGTTTCTTGGTACACGGTAAAAGTGATTTTACAAATGGTGGTCAGTTTGTCAGGATATCTTTGCTTCTGCTGCCTAGATTTTGACCATATTTTTTGTGTTGCAAGTTGACCTGTTCTGGCTCACTGACAACATATCATTTTGCCTCCCGTCAATCACATGACAAATACAGAAATGAAAGTCTGAACCATATATATTCAGATCATATTAGCTTTAAATCCAGGAGATGGTGTTTGATTAAGATCTTTGGGTAATGTTTGAAACCTTGTAACCCCTTTGGTTGGTCCAGGATGTCTTAAAATCTGTGTTCATTAGTGTGTGTATACAATCTATGAGAAAGTTTAAAAGGTTTATATATTATTCTTGCAAGCTGAGGGCTCATAACCTCTCCAAAGAACGCCAAGCCTGCCTGTGGTAAACTACAGCATTTTAATGGTGGCTTGGCAGGGACAATTTGGTTTAATGTCGTTTAATTAGAGATAACATCACTGCAATTAAACATCTGTGACCTTGAACATGTTTTTTTCATGTTCTCTAACGAATCCACAGCGTCATCACTGCTGCGTTGCACTGTGCTGTTAAAAGTCTATATATTGAGTTGTGGAAATAGGTAAACACTTGCAGCTTACACCCCCCCACCCCCACCCCCTTTCTGTAAAAGAAGAGCAGCATTTTAGGATTTGCTTGTTGAGGCAGAATATTTTAGACAGCGTTAAGCTGTGCAAAGGGTTTACATAATCCCCCTCATTTTTCAAAATAGTGTCCATCCGTGTAGTGTTAGAATACAAAATGCAGATGCTGCCTTATTGATTCACGTAATGTGGCCACATGTTCTTCATTACAATCACATGAAACTTTATTTTCTAGAATGCTTTCTATCTGTGCTTCAGAATTCTGTTTACCACCGTGTGTGTCTGTGTGTGTGTGTGTGTGTGTAAATTTGCAACTAGCAGATGGTGTCTTTCATACCACAGTTTGTCAAGGTTGTACACGGTGAGTTTGAAGTCACCTTTTTTTCCCTTTTGCTTTCTTGTTCTGCCTTGTAGATCCACACATACACAGTTCATGTGGATTCGCAGTTCAATACCTGACAAAAAGAAGGGAGGAAAAAAATCAATTGTATTCTCATTTCAGAACATGAGTCAATTCAATTAAATTAGCTGAAAGAGAAGTGAGAATATTGCTTCCTGTTGCTTTATAATCCCGACTCCCACAATGCACCCCGTGTCACACTGTGACAGACAAATCGTTGTATGTTTCCATGGTGCCGACCATCAAAGGGGAAGGGCTCCAGGGATTTTGCCAGAGTGTCCATCTTCGCTCCAGGATCACACAGTCATGTTGTTGATATGCGAGGGATGGATGGATAACAATCTGTTCTTGTTCGCAGGAATGTGGCATAAGTAATGAACACCATGGAATGACAATGTGGCCTGGCAGTTAAATGCATGTAATTGCATGTCTTGGATCCCACGTGTAAAATAGTCACTGATTACATAGTAAGAATGATCGCCAAAAGGGTTGAAGAGCACTGGTCTGGATGGTTTTTAGTTTAGTTTAGACACTTATTACTTATTAGCGTGAAGAGGAGACCATTCTATCGTCCCAGTATGCATTGAGTGAAAGTCATGGAAACATCGTGAACATCAGAGAACAGGTTTACAGTTTCAGAAGCTTTGGAAGTTACTTGGTAGTTAGTGCTGGTTGCATAATTTACCTCCTTATACTTCCTGTCATGGATGAATTGCAACCATAGACAGTAGCCTATAGCCAGTAGCCAGTTTTGGACCAATAAAATACTACTAAAGGGCTACTTCCTGTTGGCACCAGCGTCTACTGCACATGATCGCGCAGCATAACCGTGGTTTAATGACGTAGAACAACGGCAGAAACATCGTAACAAAAAGTCTTAAGACTCAGTGTGTTTGTCTGACTCAGATCGTCACTGTTTCATCAGCCCACCTACGAGGCTCACCTGCCAAATAACAATGCAGCGTCACTGATCGCATGAGCTGAATAGTTTTTTTTAGATTGCAGAGAGTTTAGAAGCTAAGCAATACGGTTACATCTCGCATGTGCGACGGGGTGTCACAGGGTTTTGACGTCATTTTTGGGCCTACATGGATCCCTCCATGCAGGCTTTGGTCGGCTTCCCTGTCCGATCTCTGGCTTACCCCCTTGATTGCAACTAACCTGCGAAACTTCCTCAGGCCAGGCTCCCTTATAGGTTGTACTACCTGTTTTGTGCATCAGGGCTCCAGAGGACAAAATGTTAATTTAAGCTAACGGGAAGCAGAATCTCAGGCTTGAAGTACCCTGATTTCATGTTAGTGATAATCATGTCCTAACCTCTTCTGCCGTTCTGAACCAGCTGGCAGAGTTTGCAGATGAGGCTATTAGGTGCTCAGCTAGCTCATCCTGATGTGGTGATTGGGGCAGTGAATACCACACACACACATAGCAATAGCAGATGTGCTGTGGGAGTCTCAGGTCTCACTTTCACCCACAGGCATTTTAGATGAAGAAGAAGAAGAAGATATACTTTATCAATCCCGCAAGGGGAAATTCAGTGTTTGATGATCTGGAACACTGATGCAGGTTAGTTCTTAATGCATGTGAGTAGTGAACAAAGTCTCTAAAACTGCAGCCACCACAGATGTCTTTTTTTGTTTGTTTTTGTTTGCCTAGAACTCATCAGTCTTATTTACCAGAGATCTCGGGTTATACATCTAAAACCTTGCAAGCATAGCATGTATATTATTCACTGCCATAACTTTATTTAGGTTTGATTGTGATTTATCTCCACAATTCCTAAATCCAAACAGTTGAGCTCTAGTGAATTCAGATTTTCTGCCAACAACCGTCTCAATCTTGCGCAAACCCCCACTACATCCTCTTTTCCTGGATGGTATCCGTACCACCCCTTCTTTGCTTGGGTCTAGCTGAGGTCTCTGTAGAGGAGCAGGTTGTCTGAGACTCTTGGGATGCCCAGGCTATTACAATTTAATCAAAAGAAAAAAAAACGGATTCAAACTGGTTCAGTACACAATACTCTTTTTTAAGCTTCTACTTTTTCCACTTTATGTTGATTGAACAAACAAGATGTAATGGGTGAATTGATGAGCTTTAAAGGTGATGGATGCTGGATTTTCTCAACTGTAGCTAGAGTGAGGCTAGCTGTTTCGCCCCCGTTTCCAGTCTTTATACTAAAGTTAGCTAATGGGCTGCCTGCTGTAGCTTCATATTTTATGTAGTTATTAGGGTGATATCAATCTTCTCATTTAACTCTCAGAAAAAAAGCTAATACATATTTCCCAAAATGGAGAATTTTTTTAATTTAAAATAAAAAATAGAAAAGAAAATGACATATCTTTATCAGATATGACAAAACACAAGCAGTATCCCACAAAAGTGACCACCCTCACATATTTGTAAATATTTGATTATATCTTTTCATGTGACAACACTGAAGAAATGACACTTTGCTACAATGTAAAGTAGTGAGTGTACAACTTGTATGTATATATATATATATATATATATATATAGTAAATTTGCTGTCCCCTCAAAATAACACATCACACAGCCATTAATGTCTAAACCACTGGCAACAAAAGCTTCAGTGTTGTCACGTGAAAAGATACAATAAAATATTTACAAAAATTAGAGGGTGACTCATTTTTGTGAGATACTGTATCATTAACATTATTTTAAGATCCACTTTGGACCTTTATATACCATTAAGCACTTTAAAAACATTCAGAGCCTTAAAGTTTACATTAGAAAAAAATCTGTGCTACTGCAGAGGTCAGATTGAGTTCTTGAAAGAGGCAGCAACCTTTGAGTGCTACACACTTAATGGTTTAGTGGTGCAATTTTATTTTCCACACTTATCAACACACATAGTATTTGAGTAAATATTGCATTTAGAGCAGCTGCTTTTCAAAAACATCAGTGTTCCCCAACTATTCACGGATAAAACCATCAAGTGTGCATCTCCCAGCATTAACTGTCTCCATTTGGAGCACTTGAACATCAAGGACTGAGTTTCCAAAACTGAACTGCCATTTAAAACACAAGCTGAGAACGAATAAACCCACTGATAGAGGGAAATCCATCCATCCACTGTCTAAGTGCAAACACTCAGTTTGGATTTTACTAGAAACCTTTAAGCATGTCAACCCTTTAAAAGCAGACATGAAATGATGCAAACTGTGCTCCACTGCTGTTAAACCCTAGAGGGGTATAATTAGTGTCTTTAGTAAAGGAACATTGCCCTTGGTCCCAATTGTGCAGTGCTGACCCAGATCATACTTGGAACGGGAAAATAAAGAGAAAAGGTTGCACTGCAGTGGCGACTCCAGTCCGCACAGTGCTTTATCTTACTCTTCTCCATCCAGCTCCTGTTGATGACGACCTTTTAAACACTGGAAGCTGTGACAAGACTTAGGAGCTACAAGTGTGGTTTTAATGGAAGAAATGTAATCCTACACTTCCCATTATCTTCTCATTAGATCCCCGTTGCTGGTTAATGACTATGTCTTTCAAACTCCACATTACCAGTTTATGATGTTGACTTTCCATTAGAAAATCTTTGTCTCGAAGCCCAAACTACAATTTGAGTAATTTTCCTAAACAAGCTCCTCCAGAACTAAAGAACATCATACAGCTCGTTTCAAAAGCTCAGTAATACTCCCTGTAACTTGCAAACTGACAATGACATGTCCAGTATAAGCTGTACAGTGCCCCTTCAAAGGATAAGTCTGGCAGAATTCTATATTTTTATTTTCACAAATCTTACAAGACCACAAGTATTGTCTGCGTAGCCAATGCCTGTGTCACAGTCACTCATTCAACAGTTTGACCGGTTGCCAATCAACCATCAGGAGGGCGGGTCTTATCTAATGTGAACCTATCAGACAGCATATGCCAGAGCATACCTGTCAACTTTGGGATTTAAAATAAGGGAAATTTTCTGGCACACCGCCCTGGGCCGTCTTACCAACCCCTACTACTGTCAGAATATGATATGGCTATATGGTTGAAATTGAAATGCTGTGAACTTCCCTGCATTACAGAAATTAAAACACAAAGGGGCATAGAAATTCAGCACATACAAGTTTATTTATGTATTACTTGAATGAGGATACATCACTTACACATTATGTAAGCCTCCTCCCATTTGCTGAGATACTCGCGCAGAATTTGTGCCTTTTTGGCAGGTACTCCATTCCTCTCACGTTCACCCAACTTTGAATCCTCGCGTTCTTCTTCTCCTTCTTGTTTTATTTGCAAGTACCGTTTGAGTGACATCCTGTCACTAGATGTTAATGTTCTACATACTGCCCCGTTTTATCGTTGGTGAATGTAGCAAACATATCAAATGCGTGATTTTTAAATTTTGTTTTAGAAAGGTTAAAAATACGAGAGATTTACGGGAAAGTATTTAAATGGGTATCAGAGAATGGTTAAATACGGGAGAATCACAAATGACATGTAGGTGCCAGAGCAAAAGTATGAACTCTTATGCTGGAACCGTGATGGACAACTCTCATCTCGTATTGTTGATTAGCTTTGAACATCTGTTTATTTGCTAAACTAAATGAACTGCAACCAACAAGTCTAGTTTATGGTTGTTGACATGAGTGGAGGACCAGAGTGGGCTGGACCCAACAGCAGCCAGTGAGTGAACTGCAGTCAGGTAAACGTGTTCTGTCCACTCAAAGTCAGATGTCAGCAAATAATGAAACTGGAAAGCATTGGATTGACATTAACTATTGATTATAAAAATGTTGATTAGCCGAGCAGACGGGGCAATATGGATGGACATCTCCCAGTAAATAGGCTAATATGCATCACATATTTAGTCAAGTCATAAATAGCATTTTACCTTTGAAAATGTATTTGCCTGATGCAGCTGATAGCCTATACTTGTTTGTCAGTAGTTGATGCTGGATCATCAGCCAGTATAAGCACAGTTCATCCACATACAGCCTCAGCCAGTAGGAGCACATCCAGAGATATAACGTCAGCATCAGCTACAAGCAGCTAAGACCCTAATGGAAAAGTTGCTGCTCCACCAAATGACCCAGCAGAATGGCCCCCAGTCATTACAGACTTTATCAGGACTGAGTTAGTAGCTGCAGAGGTCCATTCTAAGAGAGCTCCGATCGATCGGTCACCGATCGTAATCGGCCGATAATGGCTTTGATCGGCGGTGTCTAAAAAGGCAAATGAGAAAAGCCGATCAGAAGATGCAATACTCGTCAGATAAATTTTCAACGGCTGGTAAAATGGTGTCACTACGCATCTGAGCAGTTTTCAAAGCTAGCTAGCACCAAAGTCCTTTTCAGACAGGAAGCGATTAATGCGCCCAGTTAATCATTTACAATGAGAGCTGAGCAGCAATCAGACAAGCGGAGCAACAAGCAGGACTCAAGAGCGATGGTGTGTGTCATCTCACACACCCCTGCCCGCTACTAGAGTTTAATTGTCTTGACCCACAGGCAGAGAGAGAGACAATCCTTCAGAGTTTCCTCATGCAAAGAAAGGCGCCACTCAATCAGCTGACTGCCTCTCTTGGCAAAAACGGAGGACTTTATAAAACAATGACACACACTTACATTTGGCTTTCTGATTCGGTCAAGCAAAAACACGATGCTACTGACCAGAGTTTTAGTTTGTGTATTTTTCTTAAAATGTTTTGTCCTGTGTAAATAACACTTAGGCTAACAGTTAGCCTACTGTGTATGTCGCCGTATTTACTTTGCAACGACTCCTAGTCTGTTTTTCGCCATCACAGTCTCTTTGTACTCCCGTGTTACTTTCAGTTCTACTTTGGTGTGGTTCTACGTCTGTATTACTTTCTTCTTTCGGAAAATCGTCTGCAACTGCAGAGTAGACCATCTACTTCATGTTTACACCGGCACATGCATGCCCAATGTATGTGAACGGCCACTAGACGTGTGTTTTCAGTCCTTTTAATATACACAGAGATCAACTCTGATACGCAGCTGCAACGCTGCTGTGGACGGAGAAGATCGTATTCATTATAAAAAACTGTTTTAAAAAACTTAGTAGTGTGGATGTAGCCTCGCATTAACCCATTCCTCTCTCTACTCCTCTCATTTCAGCCCTCCTGTTTTCCCTGTGATTCTCCCATATTTTTCCATTCTCACCTGGTACCCTTCCTTTAAATGTTTCTCCGGAAATCTCCCATATCTTTAACCTTTATAAAATCAAATAAAAACCTGCTGGCCGTATTGAAAGTGTTGGCTACTCTCTCCTCTTGTAAAGCTGGTGGCAGTAGACCTATGTAAAATATGTAGACTGTGCTTCTTGCACAAGGATTAAATAAATGAAAACAACCTACTGAAATAATGTTAGACCTACACTAGTGGTAAACTAAATGAAATTATAATGAATATAGTAACTATAAGTAATATTAACAATGTACTAACATATGGAATTAACATTGTACTTTTATTTATTTAAATGTCACTTATTTTCAAATCTCACTGACAGTTTAGACTCCTCTCTCCCCCTGAAGCCCACAGAACCTGCCTGAGCTTTCCAGAACAAAAAGCGGCTGCTTCAGAGTTTATCAATGACTCAGGATGCCTGTGCTCCTTTATCTCCTAAATATTTTGGCTACAGCCTTTTTTGGTTTAGTTTTTTTTGTTGTTGTTGAAGTAAATGTATAAAGATGCTGTTGTTCTGTATTTGTAATTTATTCCACAGGAAAGTTGTATTTGTTAAGCTTTAAGATGTTCGCAGTGACCAGACAAAGGCTGCTATGGTTTAAGTCTCTAAGACTCTAAGACTTAAACCATACCATACGAGGGATTGCAATTTGTTGCCCAATTTGTTTCCTGGCAATTAAATAAACAGTTGCCATTCCATGATACTTTATCATCTGTTAATTTTAATACTTAATACATTGTTTTAGGACCAATAAAATAATTATACAATATACTGTATAATGCTACATGATAAATAAAAGGCTTCATATAGACCCAGTGATCAGTGATCAGTATTGGCCAATACTGCTTTCAGCAGTCAGTGATTGGCCCAAAAAATGGAATGTAGTGAGAGCACTGCACTGTCAGCTGTGACTGTGTAGCAATGACAAATTCTTTACATGGCTGACGATTCAGGTTGAAGGGCCCCATAGCAGAATTTTGCTGAGGGCCCCGGGAGGACAGGCTCTGGCAAATACCGTGCCCAGTTGTATATGACTGAGCCTTTTTTAAATGAAAGTTTATATATTTGACTTGTTTTTAAATATTAACATTTTCAGTAGGAGCCCATGGGTTTGTGTCTGAGGGGTATAGACAGGCTGGGGAAGTTATAAATATTGAAAGACAGACTAGGCCTTCTGCACGGCTTGAAAGTGGACTAACAATGTTGGACTAACAATGGACAGTTAAAAAATTATACACATTCCACAATACCCACAATACAACTTGACCGCTGACAGTGCAAGTGGAGATTTGGGTGTGCGATGCTAGTAGCGACTAATGTAGCTTCAAGGATACCAGAGATGTTTTCCTACAGAGGTTCGGAAAGCTCACTTCTTTCTAACTCCACAACCCCAAATTGTTTTCATTTTCCAACTTGTACTCTTCAGTCCCAACTCCCAAACGACCCTGACTCCATTAGTTGGTTATCTTGTGGCTCACAGGTTTTCTATTGTGAATTTTATCATCTATGTTATGTCTGTGTTTGCACACAGTGTGTGCACACAGTGTGTGCAAACACCCCTGTTTTGCACTAGCAACACTGGTGTTATGACCTCCACATATTTCTCCTCAGTTCGATAGCTGCCTACCACCTCCTCTTTGCAAGTGTGGGTATAAGATAATGTGTGGGTTTGAATAATGCATGTAGCACCTTGCAGGACCCTTGTGACATTAAAAACTGCTTTAATTCCAAATTCCCTGTGAATAATAAAGAATAACTACAAATTCACTGCAGTACTGAGGATTTATTTTATTAGTAGATATTAGATTTAGTAATATAAAATTATTTTGAAATTAGAAATTGACTCCTGCATCTGACACCTGAGGTTGAGACTGAGTGTGAATGTTTTGAATGTTTTGATTAGTTTTTTTCCCTTTGGGTGAGTGATGCAAGCTTGGTGTGTTTTTTGTTTTCTCTCTTCCTTTTTCTCAGTTACTGAGTCCTGGGTGCGTCTGACTTCCTGGGTTGGCACCTGCTGGCAATCACAGACCTGTTCCTGATCAGCCATCCCCACCACTTCTTAAGGAGAGGCATCCATTCCCTGCAGGACTGCGGACTGGTGTGCCGTAGGTTAAGCCTACGTCTAGCTCAGCGCCTGTTTTTGTAAAGTAACCTGTTCGCCTTTACTAATTTCTGTCTCCAGATTGCCCGTTCAACCCGTTCAGCCTGCCTGCCAGTTCCAAACCCCTGGAGCCACTAGAAGATCCAATCCTTCTTGCCAATCTCCAGCCATCCACGCCAGCCCCAGCCCTCACTCCCCTACTGCTTAGAAGGAAACAACCTGTGACCTCACCCTGCCTTAGTTCACCCACTCCACCTTCATAAATAAACTGTTTAAACTTCTGCTTTGTCTCCTGGTCCGCATCTGGGTTCTAGCGTATTCCTGACAGAAATACCGTATTGTACATGTACCCTGACAATCATTATCCACAACTGCTGTAGTGGCATTGCAACCACTAGCAAGGTGGCTTTCATGAGACCTTTTTGGGTTCAAGGGGATGCATCATTTGAGCATAAATTTAAACCAGTGAGTTAAAAATTCATACACAGTGTCAATTACTAGAAGAGCCTGTGTTGACAGCGAAGAAAGACACATGTCACGTGAAAGCTCTGAGTGAGATGTAATGAGCTAACTCATCTCTGATTTCAGATGAGAACACAGCTAGATTTCATACGCTAAGTTTAACAATAGAAGTCAGGGAATGATGGTGTGCAAGATGTTGGTAATTTGTTTGTTGTTGATTTGTTTTTAAGAAATTATTAGAAATAATCAATACCACGTGTAGCTAGAGTACAACTTTCAGTTTCAAACTGTAAAATCCCAAATGGGAAGTACAATGGTTTTCCAAGTATTTATTAGTTCAGCTTTTATTTTATGGGTTGTCATTTTGCTTCCATCTTTTTTTCAGATGTTCTCCATGTGATGACTGGCATTGTTTGCCAACAGTATTAACAAAACTCAAAATTAAGCACTTTTTGGATGCAATGTTTATTTGCCACTTGTTTTTATTTAGAACAACAGAATAGAACATGTCAGAAAACCAGTGTACCCACATTTCTTACCATTAACTGCTATCCCAGCATGTACACATGTATACAAAACATATACAAATAAGTTCCATACCTTTCATCCCAACCAATCATCACAAAAAAGAAGCAAGGGGGAGAAATACTAGAACACACTCACAGTTAAACAAAACGGCCTACACTAGTGGTAAACTAAAAAAGGACACTCCGGTGATTTCGTATTGAACCTCCATAAAGTTGGTGGATCCTCAAGAGATCAACAGCAGCAGAGATATGGCTTGTAGCCTCTAGTACAGGTCAAGCTTCAAAAACACTGTATTCTACATATCCCATGATGCATGTGTCTTTAGACCCTCCCTCCGATTGTTTAAACTAAACCGATTTTAGGAGGCTGACTTAGCAGGCCTTCTCTTAAAAATTGTCTCAAGCCCACTATCACTATGTCATGTAGGTTATTTTCTCTGACTTTAAAGTAGATCCAGATCCACAGACGCCATCATTCAGCTGTTTACGTAGGCCGAGAAGTAATCCTTCTGACGGTAAACTGAACTTGATGTGTAAAATTGGTGGAGCGTACCAAACCAACTCCAATAAAGAATATTGCAGGCCAGTCAAAACTAGAATACCTGTCAAGGGACGTCTTTCTTTCTTTCTTAGATCATCTCTCTTTTTTAGCCAAGCTAGCAACATGGCTCTGTGGATGGCAATGTCAGTCAATCAGTCAGTCCGCTGCTTTGGCCGAAATGAAAGATTTCTCAAATGTGGTCAAAATGCATGCCCCCCTCAGGAAGAATTCTAAATGTCTTTTCCTCTAGAGCAGAGAGTGGGAGGCAGGCCTCCCCAGGGAGGCTCCAAACATTTGAGAGGATCAGTGAAAAATGAAAAATATTACATTATTTATTATATTAAAATCAAAAGATGATATAGAATAGCCTAAATGTGTGTGATTTGTTTAAAGAGATAATTCAGAGAAACAATAATTTGGGGGAAATTTACAGTTTTTCCCACATTCCAAGAGATTTATAAATGCCAATACAACTGTCCATTATGATGTATTTGGTATGGTTTGTGCTGTCAAACAGCAATAGTAGGTCTAAAATCTGTCTGTCTATGTGATCATATAACATGATCATCCTCTACTTGAGCAAAACTGACCAGGTAAACTAAAGGAGGGCACCTTTTTCCAAGCCTTGTCCCACTGTCTCAGACCTTGAAAACCCCTGCTCTGGAGCCATCATCAAAATGTGTTAGTGTTCAATACCTAATACTGTTTTTATGACCAAATACCTGCAAACCGAATGTTGTTATTGCTGGACATGACTCATTCAACTTCTAACACACTGAAGAATATAAATCATCAGGGAGTGAAGTACAGTTTTGCATCTTTTAGTGTCATTTATTTCACCAAAGTTCTGCTTTGTTTGAGATAAGCAGAAGAAGAGCTGGGTGGATTAGAATAAGCACTGATGCAACCACTGAACCTACGCAGAAACATCAGAAACTAAAGCTAACACTGAACAGAACATCAAAGAGACGCACCTCACATTTCAGTGTTTGATTAACAGGGGCTCACTGTAGCGTTCAGTGAAGAAACAGCAGATAGTAACATGGATGAAACTGAATAAAATGAAGACTGATAACTATTCATGTAGATTGTCTTTTTTGCCATTTAGCGTACATTCTCCTCCAGAGTGATTTACTGGAAGAATATAAAATCTCCAGTATACTGCAGTGAAAATTACAAACATTGCCTCTTATCATTTAGGCTAATGAATAAGAAAAGCAGTTAGAGGAACACGATGATTGGAAAATAAAATTACTTGTCTTTCCGTTAGCGCTGCCTACTCGTTTCTTTGGACAAAACTATCTTCCTGCTGCGGTATATGTTCATACATTAGACAGATTTAGGTCTTTGTGATGGCAGCTAACAATGATGGCTTTTTTTCTACATTCGATGCGTACAGTAGCCTATCTCAGAGTACAACATACAGCTCTGGTCCTCCAGTCCAGCTCCAATTAAAACACACACACACACACACACACACACACACACACACACACACACACACACACAAGAAAAAGCCAGTTTGTCTTGAGCCATAGTATTTTTTTTTTTTTTGTACAGCTGAAACAGTCAGGGGCTGAATACAGCTTTGTTTCCTCTGATAATGACAATGCATTTTGGCTTTATGCAGTGGGATTGGAAAGGATTTTAAATCCTTTTCAGTCTCACTGGATTCTGTAATAAGAGTGAACCCATTAAAAGCCCCCAAACTGTTTTCATGCAACAACATACAAGACTTAAAAGATGTTAAACATGAAAGTGTGAGTTAATGTATGCCATACTAATTAAACCAGTTTTCTTCTCTTTTTTGTCTTTAGACATTAAACCTCTGAAGATCACCTGTGGGACAAGCAACTGGTCAGTTAGTTATATTAAAGTCTGCCACAACTATTATTTTTGTGGAGAAACAGCGCTCTCAGGTGGACACCTGAGGTATTTCTGCTCCCTCAGCTTCATCATGAAATGTTAACAGTGATAGAATATAAGTACAAATTCGAGGTACTTGTACTTTACATGAGTATTTACTTTTTATGCAACTTTATACTTCACCAAATCTCAGAAGCAAATATTGTACTTTTTACTCCACTACATTGGTGTGATTTAGTTACTAGTTACTTTTCAGATTACAATTTGTGTGTCCTTCCTGTCCAGTGAACCACCTGTCTCCAAATTTGGTGTTTTTTAAGTGTTCCTTCATGTGTTGGAAATTATCTTATTTCTTAAGCTAAATGAACGCCTTGGATCAGCAGGAAAATGCAAGCTGAAAACAGGGCTGTTTCTCTGAGCTCATGAAATGTTGACTTTTTAGAGATACATGGTTCTCACAGGACAGCGACGCTACAAACATATGATGATGAATTACCCGACAGTAAAAACAGCGTTAAAAAACTACAGCAGTAAAATGCAACATACACATTAATGCAGCAGTAACGTTAATCCCAGAACATCATGTAGAAAACAGTAAAACACTGACAGGGACCATTTCACTGCATTATGAGTACTTTTACTTTTGATACTTTAAGTACATTTTGCTGATAATGACAGCATACTGATTCTTCAGTTAGGTTTTGAATGCAGGACTTTTTCTTGTAGTGGAGTATTTTCATAGTGTGGTATTATATTTACTTATTTTACTTTAAGTAAATCAGAATGCTTCTTCCACCACTGAATGTTGACTCCGTAAGTGGTAAGAAATGGCAGATTCAAATTACTTGAATGTGGATTGAGCAGAGATGCGTCTCGTTATCACAGAGACGTCCCTCCCTCTTATTTCGTACCTTCAACCCATGTCATGTGTGTTTTTTCACTAGATGAATAAGAACATCTGCACACCGTACTGTTTCCTTGATAATTATATTATATATTAAATATATTAATAGTTTGACATATTGGGAATCATATTCATTCCCTTTCTTGCCAAGAGAGTAGACCAGAGTGGTCTCAATCTTTTCATCTAACTCTCAAAATAAACATTATTAATAAGCTCAAACTATTACTATCACAACTCTGCTTATTTTAAGTCACTGCTTCAATTGTATTAACAAATAGGTGAATTTGTTGAATAGTTGAATATGGAAAAGAACTGGAGGTGTCATTGCAAGTCCGTAGTTTTGGATTACATAACAATGTACAAGTTCCAAATGGCAGCAAATATTGGGAAGCTCCAATACCCAGAAATGCTGTAATATGCACACAACGTGTTCACCAAGCCTAACTGGTTTTCTCAAAATGTGGTTGTTTTTTTTTTAAACAGTGTGTCCTTGTAATATACAACTGTAGACAGATGCCATGAATATGTATCTGATAGCATGAAGGCTCGGTACATTGGTACATTGAATCTCTTTGGTGGACCAGGTCGAACCTTTCATGTTCATCACATGACATTAGTGTCACTATGAGGTGAGGGTGTCCCGCACATTGTTTGGTAACAGTATGTGAGGCGTTGACAGACATGATTCAGAGATGAACACCTGAAAGGATGTCTGCATACAAGCCATGAGCATTGATGGCATATTGCTCAGTTAGTCAGTGTGAAGAATCTTTGTTCTGCCACATACTGTATCATACGGATCCAGGCGGGAACTTCTGTAGCATTGGAAATTTTTAATAACTCAGAGCACACGCACTGTTGACATTTATTTCAAAACACAAATGAATGAAATGACAGAAATCCTTGTTTGTCTCCTTCTTTTGTAGAAATTCAAAGACACCATGCTTCTATCTTCATAACATCTTTAAGTACATGGCTCTTGTCATCAAAAAAAAAACAGCATGGGAATAAGTGTTTGACTTTATTGTGTTGGATGGCCCCACTTATGTTACACACACACACACACACACACACACACACACACTGGATCAATCTCTTCTCTGGACACACAGGACACACCCATCTTATTATCATATAAGCATGAGGAAATATAAAATAAAAGTTTTTATTTATTTTATCAAATTAGTGATAAAAGAAAACAATCTTGCCTTTTTACCAACTGGTTGGAGGTTAAAGGAAAATAGTTTAGCATTTATTTTTAGATTTCAATTGAAAAATTTAGCTAAATGGATTATTGATTGACGTAGTCACTTATATTTTCGACTTGTGTGATAACCCTTTTCCTATATTTTTTCAGGTTCCAGGCACTGTATTTCTACACAGCGTAAGATGGAAATGGCCAGGTTTATCACAGGTTTTTTTAGAAGTGTATTTGACTTTTTCACAAACAACAGCATGGGCAGTCCTGGTCTTGTAATAATCTACAGTCACAGAATCACATTACAGCAGCTCCGCTACACCATCCAGGAGGCACTTGAGAGAGTAAAAGCCATTTGTGTGTAGTTCAGTAGGAAAAATGATGATTTGAATGACGAAATCTTAGTTGAGATGACTTTTTTTCTGCAAGACATATTCTATTTTTCAGTCAGTCAGTGTCCCAGCATTTTGTGTAGCTTCATTTTCTGTATGTATAGGTGTGTATTTTGAGCCTGTTTGTCAAGATGTGTGTGTGTGTGGCCCCACCAGTCAGGGATCCTTTTCCTTTGCCACCATGTTGACACACGTGTGCATGCAGGGACAAATGTGGGAGGTTAAAAAGGGCTGTGCGTGTCAGGTGTCATGCTCTCATCACTGCATGAATGTAAAGACAACCCACTTCGGCATATGCACACACTTACCTCTTTCAGCCTCTACAGAGAAGACAGGTGAAAGGTGTAGCTGAGTGGAGGTTAGAGAGTTCACATTCCAGGTAGAGAACATGAGGCCTGTCCTTGAGCGACACTCCAAGCTACAACCATTTCAGTTGTTTCACCAGCTTTGAGTTTGCGTTTCTGAATAACTGTTGTCCTACATGCAAAAATGCTGCTTTTTAGAGCCACAGATTTATTTGTCCACCACTTTCCTACTACGTCACTTGTGGTCGGTTTAAATGGTCAAGGGGTCAAATCCAAAAAAATTATGCAGGTGGCAGGCATTCAGACGAAGCGTTTGCTTCACGCTCAGCAGATCCTCCCTCTTTCTCTAAGAAGCGTGTCATCTGCAGCTCCGGAAACAATAACATTCTCCCTCAGGGACTTCTTTTGGTCCCCTCAACCCCCCTTTAACCGTCTGGACAAAAGCCCAAGGGGGGAAAAAGATTCCCCTTGATAGGGCACGGCCGCTTAGAAACTTCCAGAGGCCCTTTCCATTTGTTCAGCTGCCTGATGGAAAAGTACAGGGCTTACATGGCCCGCCACCCACCCACCCACCCACTTGTATGGTGGCATCTCCTCCTCCTGTGCTGCAGCTCTGTGTGTAGAATTAGTTCAACTCAATTTGTGAAAACAACTGGCGCATGACGTTCCATCAGACAAATCCCTGTTTGTGCAAACACTCCCACAAGGGGCAACTTCTCATCATGAGTGGTGACACAGCAGGAAAAAACAAGACAGGGAATCAGGATTTGATTCTGATGACTGGCTTTATTTGTTTGTTGCCATCTTGCTATCAATAAAATCTGATAAAAAAACACACCCACACAGTCCTCATAACGCAGATGAGCTTAATTGTTAGTGTTAAAAGGTAAATAATTTGGGTTCATTGATATTTAATCATACATATTGCTGTGTGTTCCAGAGAAAAGTTTTTTAGGTCATTTTTCATAGATGCTCAAGCCCAGTTTTAAAGCAGCTATAATCTTTTTTTTTTTTAATAGCAATGGATCAGGTGCCTGTATGTCATGTGAAAAGGCTCGCTAGAAAGTAGAAGAGAAATAACGTTAAATGAATGCTGATATTGCTCCAGGAAATGTTGGCTGTATTGTGATAGCATATCCAGACCCAGAATGGCCTTAAATGTTAATTTGATGTATTTTGGCATCATATTCAGACTGTAAGAACTGAAGCCCCCATTAGGATGCAATAATGAGGATAGATCATACATCAACTTTGAGCACGACATAGATACCCCACTGCAGGAGAGCTCCAGGAGAGCAGGGGGACGCTAAAGGGACAACTATGATTAGCTCATGTGACCAGTGAATTAACTACAGGCTACCTTTATCAGTCACATGGGGACAAAGATAGCTGATGGCTATTTTTGGATTTGAAAGAGAGGTCTGCTTGTTGGGTCTTGTGTCAGAGGCTTACACTAGAAGGTCCAAGTTCCACCAGATAATATTTATTTTCATATAGGAATGGTTATATTTAGATGCGATATTACAGATGGTGAACGCTGATGGTTATTGCAGATGGATATTATTAGGCATAAAGTTAGAAATAAACGGTTATGTGTAACTATTTGAGACTAGAAATATCAGTGTCAGGTTAGAAATAGACAGTATAGAATATAGACAGTAGGATAGTCAGTTGCTGCGACTTCAGCTACATGACACTGATTAGCCTACTTCTCTGGCTCTCGTTCAGCTGCACTTACCTCTAAAGGAGAAGGAAAAAATAAAACAAGTATTGCATTATTTATCACCATTTGGAAAAGGAGGCTAAATTTATTTTCCCAGAACTAGTCCTGGTATCAGGATTAGAAAAAGGTGTAGACACCTTAACCAGATTAGTTTATTTGATGTGAATTAAAGGTACACCAATGAATATTTTTATATTAACAATGGAATAAATGGCTATGGCCATTGAAAGGTGTCGCTTGCAATGAAAATACACAGAATATTGTCACTACTCTGCACTTCCCTTCAACTTCAACTTTCAGCTCAACCCTATGTCATTGTTCACCCTCACAGATCCATCACGCTGTTGCAGCAAAAGGAATTCTGATAAGCAACCTGCTAGTTATCACAACTAGCTAGTGAAGACAGGCAAGTAGAATCAGCCTGTGCTCGGCAGAAAAACAGCTGTATAGGCTGATTGTGCAGCAGCGTATTACAGCGATGAAATGTGTATGGGTCAAACATATTCAGGATTTCAATCCAGGAGACAGGGGTTCAAGTCCTGTGTGAAACCAAGTAATCATTGAGTTATTTAACATTAAATAACATTACGTAGTGACTAACGTTATGTGACTGACTTTACTTACTAATTTTTACTCAAACCACAATCTCTTCCTAAACCTAACCACATACTTTTGTTGCCTAAACCTAAAGAAGTTCTTTTGTTGCCTACGTTGACCACATGTTTAAAGTACTTCCAGTCCTTTTGGGGAACAAAATTAGGACATGTTGGATAAACTGGGGGGATCCCTATGATCCCATGTGTCTCTTGATATAAAGTAACATTGTAAGAGATTGGTATGGGTTAACTTTGCAGTTCAAACTGAAAAATATCTCAAGGTAGATGGACTTTTTTATAGCAGTTTGATGGTAAAATCCGTTCAACCATTGTGGAGTTACCAGGGTCCAAATTCAAGGTCTTGCCCTCAAATTTGAGGGCAGATTTCAATGAGTATAACATCAGTAGGCTGTATAAGCTGTAGATGGGTGATTTCAACATACTGGCCCAGGGAAACATACATTGAACATTTGATCTACGGAAAAAACATTGCTGGGATCATAACACTCTTTGAAAGGTCTGCTCATTATGTCATATTAAGAGGATAGTGAAATGGGTAACATAGTACATAGGATGTGCACAGCACCAAACAGTCAAGTTACCAACTAATGTTAGCTAGTGACGAATGTCAAACATCTAGCTAAAATTAGCTAAAGACACATATTTTCTTAGGAGTTGTTGGAGACCAAACAGAGCTGAAAGGAAAATGATTTTTAGGCATAGTCAGGTGGCTAGAAACACAACTCCAAATGAATGCTAATGTTTCTCCATGACTGTTTGCTAAAAGATTTGCCATTCAAAGGTTAAGGAGATAATATTGCCATGTTAGCTTGTGGCGGGTGCCTTCAAGTGATTAAAAAAATTATGCAGATTTTAAATGAGTGTAGCATCTTCTTTTCTGTTTTGATTCTGTACATCCAGCAGATATGAAGAATAACTAATCCAACTGACTTAAACCAAAGATTTCATGAATGCAACAAACAATAAACACAAAGTATGTCACTCCATTTTCCTTGTGGGTTACTGTGACACCATGCAGATCTTCTTAAACAGAAGGAGAAAACAAGAAGAGAGAATCCAGATTTGAAATGCGTCACACCAGATGGCCTGTAAATCATTCTTTTCTCTGCTGTGTTTCCAAAGATAATAATTCCGCTAATAACAAAGCAGAAAATATTGACAGGATGAGCCAAGCTGTGCAGTAACTGACAAACTGCACATGTCTCCTGTTTTCTCCAAACCTTTTGGGACACGTGTGCGTCGTGGCGGTGGTCCCATCAAACCAGCCGACCGTTGGACTGTTTGGCACCCCGACAGCAGGAGAGGAGCGGGGGGCTCCTTTCATGAGCATGTGAATGTCAATAGCAGCCTCAATCACCAAAAACCCACCCCCAGACCCATTAGCGTGTAGGGGCCGGAAAAATAGACTTTGGAAAAACACATTGCATAAGACCTTATGTAACAAGCTTCAGAAATTAATAGCTGGAGCAAATAAGCGGAAGAATTGGGAAATTATGTCGAGGCCTTGCAGTATTGTGTTGTGTCGTCCTGGTACAGGGGGCACACAGGAGGGCTCAGGGGAATCAGGAACAGGAATGCTAACTAACTTGTCATGGCTAGACACCCTGAGTAGGACAGTTTTAGAACAAGTGGTGAGTTTCTTTCAGACACAATATACTGTTAACATCCTGTTTAAAAAATAAATGGATCAAAATAGCTATCCACTGACAACAGCAACATTCCCTCCACATCAGCAATAATTTTTTCCGGATGTATAGTGGTATCTACTTTGTCTACTACTGTCACTCAAAAAAACAAAATGAAACAGTAAAATAATTGATGAAGTGAAGTAAGTCAGACTGTTGACCAAATTAATCAAAAGATCTTGGTAAGTTTGCAGCAAAAAATTATTTTCAGTATTTTACTGAATCACATCAGGACAATTACTGACAAAAACTGTGGTTTCCTGTAATTCTCTAAACTGTCACTCTTGCAGCAAACCCCACCCACGTGAGGTGTATCTGAGTTAAAACATGTCATAAATCTGTGTATAGTGTTTGCAAACACACTTAAACCCAAATCTGACTTCTTTGAGATAAGAAAGAACCTGTCAGTTTTCTCATCTTTCCTCACTGTTTCCACAGTGTAGAAGGGCAATGACATTTCAGCACACTGAGTTATTGAGTTAGTGATTATTCCTAATAGCCACAGGTTCATTTCCATGTGATGCAACACATGCATGCTCATATGATATGAATGTAATTATTTTTTAACTCCTTATGTCAGCTCTTGGAAATATTGCTACTGCTTTAGAAACCAAAAAAATGTTATAAGCTCTGAAGATTTGTTTTCTTTTTTCTTTTATCTGATAGTTCCAGTCAAAGACACACCTAAAAGGTTTTGGAACTTTCCATGAATTTCAGCTTTGTAAGTTTGGTATAGCATGTTCAAAAGAAAAAAAAAACTTTAAGTTTAGATACAGGACTGGACAGAATAGCTGGTAAATAACACAATCTACGTAAATGTATGCAAGTGTACATATATATATATGCATGTGTGTATGTATATGTTTGCATATATGTATATATGGGTGTGTAAGTATGTGTGTGGATATGTATTCATAGTTGTTTGTTGTTCTGTGTTTGTATTCATTAGAGTTCTCATGACATTTTATTACAATGTTCCAAAACTAATTGACATGGCCATTTGTAAATGAAATATTTGCATACTCTTTGTTGGTCGTAAATACAGTAAACTATAAGTCATTTAAAAAATAAATAAATCAACTCGAATGAACTTGTAGTAAAGGTCAGCTGACCCACTTGAGCCTATGTGTTTGATGCTCGTAACTTTAGGTACTCTTCTATAAACATTGTCGTGTAAATTACTTCTATATATTACTAAACCTTGACCTTGTGGTGACGCATGTAATTGTGACCTGGGTTATGTTAAGAGGAAGCTTGAGACCTGCATGTGGCTAGGTTTAGACAACAAAATTGCTTTGGTTTAAAGGTAGGGTTGACTTTTTCAATATTTAACCCCAGACCACAAACATTAACCAAGTGCTCTTAGTGCCTGAACGAAATCATAAAAACAGTGTTTTAGTTACTAAGAGAAGATTTTATATGAAAAAACAAATGAACACTTTGCTAATACTGCACAAACATTTTAGAAGTGGCATTACGTTCCTTTCAAAATG